GAAGAAATAGTGAACGGTTTTAGAGTTCTGCTCCGGAAAAGAACACAACCACCAATTTCAGTCTAAGTCAAACTTGTTGCCATGGAAACGCCAAAAATATTTTAATCAGAATTCCAAAACTACCAAAAGGCACCCGACACCGCCATACCAATCTATGTGCCAAGTTTGGTGAAGAAATAGTGAACGGTTCTGCTCCGGAAAAGAGCACAACCACCAAGTTCAGTCTAAGTCAAACTTGTTGCCATGGAAACGCCAAAAATATTTTAATCAGAATTCCAAAACTACCAAAAGGCACCAGTACACCACCAGATCTATGTATGTGCAAAGTTTGGTGAAGAAATATTGAATGCTTTTAGAGTTCTGCTCCGGAAAAGAGCACTACCACCAATTTCAGTCTAAGTCGAACTTGTTGCCATGGAAACGCCAAAAATATTTTATTCAGCATTCCAAAACTACCAAAAGGCACCAGTACACCACCAGAGCAATGTATGTGCCAAGTTTGGTGAAGAAATATTGAATGCTTTTAGAGTTCTGCTCCGGAAAAGACAAATGTGCACGGACGGACGGACGGAGTCCATTTTAATACCCCTCGCAAAACGCGTTGCGGGGGATCCCAACGACTACAGATCACCTGGTGGCACCTCTGCTCATGATTTTTTAATGTAATTTTCTTAAACGTTTTTGGCAACAAATGTTGACTTTAGAAAATAATTCCTTTTCAAGGCACTTAATTTTAGATTATTATTTTGCTTCAAGTTGCCTTTTCACGTGCACTATTCATGATATGATTTCAGATGTTTTCTGTATATCTCCTCAAAGTAATCATTTCATTTCATTTCCACAATGTCTGCATGGATGCTTGCTCGAGTTGTCACAGTGTAGATATTGATAGGAGCGTTGTTGTAACATGTTTTACTTACCAGAGGACACCTGGCCTCTCTGATGCCTGCAGAAATATGTTCCTTGGTTGCATATTGGGTTCGTAATTTTGCTAACGGTTCTGTAGAATTATACAAAACCTTACCGGCGCAGATCCAGACCCGTGTACAAAATGTTTGACCAATTATATAACGTTGGTTGGTTTTGTTGTTTTCCAGCTGTTCGTCGGCGTCTGTAAATAACCGGTTTTAAATGCGAGACCATAAGCAACCATGTGTCAGTTTTATCGAATTTCATTGTAGCTGTTTGTATTGTGGTAAATCTACATTACAGTGATGAAACATCGAACGCTGGCCATATTACCAAAATATTCCATATTTCAAAATATTGTATTTCATGTTTTAGGTTCATGACACATTTTCATCACTCCATAAACGTTATATATATATGCATCATGACGCTTTCTGAACGCAGAAAATGTCATATGGTATTAAGAACAATGGCGATCTTGCTGCAGTACGGTAGAGATATCTGAGGCGAACAGTTTAGTTAACCAAGCAGTTGATGTGAAGGCGGAACTCTGTGATCTTGTAGTAACAAACTGGCAGAGCATTACCCTGAGAACTGACTGAGCGTGGCCTGGATTCAGTTAAAGGTCACATGCAACCAAAAAATCAAACATAATTAGAACACAATTATCACTTCTTCATGTCATATAATATGCATTGCTGATTATGAAAAAAACAAATAAACAAATTATAAGCGTATAATTGCAAATCAAAAGTGCAATATTTTGTACTTGGGTTTACCTCCATCGAAACGAAGCAGCCTGGATACCGAACCCAGTCAGAGCGGGTGGGTGTGCACTCAAGTGTAACGGCTGGTTCATTAGCAGATGCCGCCTTCACGGCTCATTGTGTGTGTATATATAGAGATGTTGGGTTTTGTAAATACATGCTCATTTTTTGTGTATAACATTTTGCAATCAACAGACATCATAACATGTCATGTGTTCAAGTATCACACCTGCCTGTCTGTGTAATTACATAATGTGACAGAGACCGAACTCGGGCCATAAATCAATGCGTTTTGTTTATGGTGTATAGCCTGATTGGTGTTAAGTTCAAATTGCATGTGGTCAGTGATCTCAGTTGTGTATTGAATATTGTCATTAGCAGACAGGCAGGCAGGCAGACACACAGGTGTCAATAAAACAAGACATTGAGTTTTGTCTGTGACAACGACATATCTATATCACAGTTAGAAATTGTGTCAATGCTAAATAATGACATTGCTTTTAAGTATCGAACTGAGAAAGTGACTCGGTAAGAAGAACGTGTGGTGAAATAGACAAATGAAATTATATAAACAGTTTATTTACTGTCATAACATATAAAAAAGCTCGCGCCTGTGAGATATCAACAAAACATTATGAAAATAGCTCACACCAAAGCCTTCACCGAGTATTCACCAGACAGCCCGCTTCCAAGTTGCGCGAACCTATTTCACTGCGCACGCGCTATGAGCGCAGCCCAGCTGTTGAAACCCGTATTCCCCAGAAAGGTCTGGGGAAAATTAGTGAAACGTTTGAACTCCGATTTCGCGCGTTTTTTTCCATCGCGTTATTTTTCAACTTTATAAGTTGAATTTGCATTTTTTGACGCTTTGTTTCGGTAAGTCCATACCGAAAGGTATCAGAATCTGCAAAGTTGTGTTTTACGTTGCATGTGACCTTTAAAGAAGAGATCATTTCTTGTTTCAAGGGCGTCTGATCATGTGATTCCTCAGATATAGGATTTGTGTTCGTGCAAACGTGTAACGCAACTGAAGACCCCTTTTCGTAAATGGATACCCCATAAATGAACCTCTATATATGGTGACGTCAACTATGATAGATCAGTAAAGCGTCTGTTCCACATTAACACACGGCGATGGAACGTCCTAAGATTGTCATTGTAGCAATTATGCTTACATTGGGCCTTGCAAGATGCGAAGACTACTCTCGTTTCCTTGTCGACATCGCTGAAGCATCAGGCGTCGCTATTGAACAGACCATCATGGCCACTGTAAACAGCATCTTGCAAGAAACAGATGGTGTTGAAAACATCTTCAAAGTAAGATACAATTTGATACCTTTGCTCAAAATGCATCGTGTGGATTCAGGTGTATTTAAATAATTAATTAGCTTATACATTGTCAAATAAAGTAAGCAAAAAGAAGAGATGCACTGAACACACTAATGTGTATTTGTCTTTTTGCAGGTTGTCGGTGAACCGAGAGTATTTGCAAGTAAGTACACACTTGACAGTCTACCTTAAAGCTGCTTCAGTTGATTGGGGTACGGACAATCGACGGTCAAGATACTTTCTGTGAGGCGTTTCTGAGTGCTAACTGTGTGACACATCACAATGATAGCTGCAATCAATTCATTGGGTGCGTTTTCTGTCCGTACTGACGATCAGTATTCAGCTGCATTGACAACAGGAAAACAGATTTGAATGTGTCCGCAGGCAATTGGTGTAATACAATGAGTGAGTGAGTGAGTGCGTTAAAATTTAAAGTCACTTTGGAAATATTTCAGCCATATCGTGACTAAAACAAGTTAGAGATTAACAATAAGTAAAGATGGATCATAAAATCCTGTCGACAAAGGACAGTAAAACAACTAGAACATCACAGATATAAATGTAAAACTAGCAATTAAATCTAAAGCATTTTTACTATAGAGGACAACACAATATATAACAACTGAGGGTAGATCACCATACCAGGGACCATGGGGACCTACAGTACCTTTGTTACCTGCATGGACCCTTGCTGGATTTACACTATCCCTTTAGCCGTTGGCGATTATAAGAAATGTTAGCCAAAATTAAAATAACAAGAATACTACGTTTAAAAGTCCTGGTAAGTTTAAATTGACTTTGAAAGTTTTGGGACTTACGTACCCTCTCAGGGGGACAATAATTTTACGATACTTTAACTCCCTTTGAGGGTACAGCCACTAACAATCTAAGTTACTAATCAAAACTACCAATCATTAAAACACATCTATCTACAGAAGATATTTATAAAAAATCATTAATTAAATCAATTTCTTTTAAAAAAGCAAGAATTAAATGAAGATGAACAGTATTAAATAGATCCTTAACAGTTTTAACATTGAAATATTTATTCCTTATGATGGAGAATTCAACAGTCAAGCAGGAGATGCTTGACTGTGACTCTCTCATCACAAGTGAAACAAAACGGAGGATCCTCACCTTTTAACAAATAGTTGTGAGTGTACCTTGTATGGCCAATGCGACATCGTCGCATGATGACCTCTTCAAATTTGGGCTGACAACCTAAGACGTTTAACCAATGTAGGGTTTTATTTCATGTAATTTATAAATACCTACTTGGGTGTCGCACTTCTTCTGCATCAGATCCCGGATGTATGTAATAAAATGATCTTGTCTCTTTTTGGCCTGTCGATCCCTCTCATGTATGTTGACAGTCGCACAACCGCTGTCCGACACCCCCGCCCATCCCCCTTCTGCTTAATGCAACATTTCTGCGTGTTTGGCCGCCGTGATGTTGCTGGAATATTGCTAAAAGCGGCGTAAAACCAAACTCACTCACTCTGCGTATTTATTGTGTGACACATCACAATGGCAGCGGCAATCAATTCAACAGGTGCTATTTCTGTCCGTACTGAAGGTCAATAGGATGTTGCATTGTCCATGGTACAATATTTCATCGGTACCTTTTGAACGTTTTTTTACATTGACATTCTTAGTTGTATCAATACAACGATTTGTGAACACGTACAAATTATGCAGTGTGAAATAACACAAAGAGGTTGTAATTTCAGTTGGAGAGATACAAAGAAATTTCATGAACCCATAGTTTCTCGTTTTGCTGTTTATGATTAACCATACTTAGGATATTATAGTTACATGACTTGGGGTTTCTCTTATGATGTCTCTATAACTACATTGTACTTTCCAGTTCTGAATGTACCCAACCTGTGCGATATGCGACCTCTTGAAGAGAAGTTGTTGGCCGCTAATCTATGCTTCAGGGCGAAATCTCTTTTCCTGGGTGAAAAACTTGCAGCTGATCTCGGGGTGAACAAAACCCTTATTGCAAGTTCCCCTCCTCCAGCGCGCCTAACTGGAGACTACATTTACTCCTGGGAGGTAGTTTTCAGGATGGAAGGTAAACCAATTTTGAGTTTCACCATAAAAGAGTCATAGACAAAACAGGAACAAGGATGTCATGATGTATTCTTTTCGAAAACAACCCTTCACGCTATAAAGGAATTATACAACCAAAATAATTTCGGTCATTGTATGTACTTGTGTATATCAGATCAAACCAGTAAAGAATACAAAGAGGGACTACGAGACAATCTGCAGAACAGCCTCAAGTACAGAGTGGACAATCACCAGAATCTCATGTACAAAGTTCTCGGAGAGTTTCCTATTAAGGTAAATTATGGACTCGATAAAAATAGATGTTTGCCTGGATCGCTGCTAACTGCTTTCATTTACTGATGTGCCTGTTCAAAGCTCAATTATTGACAATCGAAACATGATGAAAACGGAAGATGATAAAAACACTCATAGGTATATTCTGCAACGGATATGTCTACGATATAATATGTATATATCATATGTGTTTATGTATTATTATTACGTATATATCATATGTGTTTAGTATTTAATTAGTGCCATTTCAATGAACTCATAAATAATGAAATAATAAATTTTGTCCATAGTAAAGTAAACATATTTTATCACCACATCGTCTCTATACAGTGAAGACCCGTGAAGATCAGGGTTAGAATTCGTCTTCGTAAGAGAGGACTAACGGGATTGGGTGGTCAGGCTCGCCGACTTGGTTAACACATGTCATCGTATCCCAATTGCGAATCGATGCTCATGCTGTTGATCACTGGATTGTCTGTTCCAGACTCGATTATTTACAAACCGCCGCCATATAGCTGAGTGTGGCATAAAACTAAACTCACTCACTCAATATAAAGTGAAGAAAAAATAATCATGGTTGCGTTATGTTTACAGATGATGTATTTTGCATCATTGAAACCAGAGGATGCTGAACTGGTTATCTGGCAATTCAACCCCCAAAGACTGATTTTTACAGCAAAGGTGACCCGGATGCAGTACCTAGACGTGTATCTTAACGGCTGTCAATAACAATCTGTACTTTTCGTAATAAAGAAGTCAGTGTCAGAGCGTTTTAGATTGGCATTGAATTAGACTTAGAATTGAAGTTGGAACAACTCCGCTATAATTGTATAAAAATTATGATAAAGACCGAAATGTTCTCCTTGAGTATCAATTTTGTCATCATCTAAATATGTTGTCGTTCTCATTCTTGTGCTTTATAATTTATACACACGGGTTCCAGTAAACAGGACATCTACATTATATCATGCATTAGTGCTACACGAGACGAGAACCTGTAAACAAGCGAATCTATACCGTACTATCAAGTGACTGATATTGTGAGCGTTCCGGGAACAAATGTTTGCGGTCAATGAAATTAGTTCATTGTGAGCAACTTTGCGCATGGCGTTCCATGTATTTTCGGTGAATAAATGAGTTTATTCCTGTGACGATTGGTATGATCGTTTCGAGGTGTATGTACTGAACCAACAACAGCATCACGCTGTGAATAGAGAAATTGTACTAATTGAATTTCAGTAAATATATTTAGTGATATTGGTTACAGAATAGCCTATATTTCCGCATATAGCGTTATACCAGGTGTGATGTATACGTATATCTACTCTCTATATATCTGTGTTTTGAAGGGACGTAGCTCAGAAGTTGTAATCGTTCGATTTCTCACCTAGGTTCAAAAGGAAAAGCCAAGTTCTCGTGTCCTCGTCAAATCTGAGCTGAAATATACAATCATAATTTACTTTGCTGAAAAACATCCTTCTTCATCGAATTATGTACCTCAATTCCAATAACAGGAAGAAGAGAAATATATCAATTGTACTTCAGATAATGGTGAAGATAACAACGAGGTATTTTTATTCATGAACTGCATAGTGCTCTTGACCAGGCCCACGATACTCCTACAGGAGCTAATAACATCCATTATCTACTACTGAAGCATTTACCAGAATCATGTTTGAAGAGCCTTTTGAATATGTTTGATGATATTTGGACGTCTGGAATATTTCCTTCTTCATGGTGTGATGTTATAGCTGCCCCCATCCCTAAACCTGGACGTGATCATACTGATCCTTTTGGACCGATTTCACTTACCAGCTGCGTTTGCAAAACCATGGAATGCATGATGAATAATCGAGTCGTTTGGTACTTAGAAACCAATAACCTAATCACAGATGATCAATGTAGTTTCCGCAAAAACTGAAGTACCGTCGATCACTAAGTGCGTTTTGAATCATTTGTCATAAACGTTCTTACTAATGAGTGAGTGAGTGAGTGAATGAGTTAAGATTTAAAGTCACATCGGCAATATTTCAGCCATATCGTGACTTAAACTAGTTCTAAATTCATAATACATACATGTAATATATACAAGCCTGTCAACGAAGGACAGTAAAACCACTAGATTTTCACAGATTGAGTAAAACTAGCTAGCATATATCTTTAAAAGTAGAAACTTATTTCCGGACAATACAATGTAAAATGGGCTATAGATCGCCAACAACTGAAGGTAGATCACCATACTAGGGACCATGGGGACTTACAGTGCCTTTGCTACCTGCATGGACCCTAGTTGGATTACACCATCCCTTCAGCCGCTGGCGATTGTAGGACAAGTTTAGCCGAAATTTAAAGGAACAAATATACTACGTTTAAAAATCGGGTAAGCAAAAAATTTAACTTTGAAAGTTTTGGGACTGACGTACCCTCTCAGGAGGACAATAATTTTACGCTACTTCAACCCCCTTCGAGGATAGAGCCACTAAAAATTGCAGTTTCAAATTTATACTACCATGTTTAAAATACCATTTATCTATTTACAAATCATTTAACAAATCTAATTCTTTTAAAAATGCAATAATGAAATGAGAACTGACATTACTAAAAAGATCCTTCGTAGTTCGTGATTTGAAATAGTTAATAGGACATGCTTGACTGTGATTCTGTCATCACAAGGGATACAAAACGGAGGATCCTCACCTTTTAACAAGCATCCATGAGTATATCTAGTATGACCAATACGACATCGTCGCATGATGACCTCTTCAAATCTGGACTGACAACCCAAGTAGGTGTAACCAATATAGGGTTTTATTTCATGTAATTTATTTATACCTACGTGAGTGGACTGTATATGAAGCATGATAAACAGAAAGAAATATTGAAAAGCACAAAACTCACAGGCAAAATTCACCGTCACTAAATATTCATTCGCCTATCTTAACCGCATGTGCTATTATATCGATTCACTTGCAATTACCTGTAGTTCGTTTCGTGATTAAGAACACTACGCTTATAACGAACTCAATTTTGTTTCGTTCTCACCGTAGTTCGTTATACACATTTCGACAAAAATATTCGACACAAATCCTTACACACGATAAGCATGAATTTTTCTGAGACCATCAGCAGTACAGATAAGCATTATGACAAAGTAGGAAAAGAAGAGGAGGAAGTATTGATTGTTTTATCAGGTATTCATCATTAATACAATATTTATAATACTAGACGGTATCTATGGAAATATCTGCAAAAAATACCTTCCAGTCAATAAATGTGTTGGTAAAGAATGTCAGAGCAGCAAAAAAAAGAAGAAAAGAAAAAACCCACTGAGAATACAGGTACTTGTGTACGTAAGTGAAGTTTGCAGAAATAGTTTGTGAAACTTACTTAAGTGGCATTTAGGAGCTTGTATAATGAAGAGAAACACTTCTTATTCTTGTTGCAGTCGATGCTGTGTAGATACTAACACTGTTAACAAGCAAATAGTGATAACGGTGTTACGATCAACACCGAAACGTTGCATCTAGTGCAACAAAGAAGTTGTCTATTCATAAAAAGTGTTCCTCTTCATATTTCTGAAAAAAAATAAATACCGAATTATTGGAAGGGGATACTTTGAAAATAGCTGACATGGTATTTGAATGCTGTTAAATTGTTATTGTACTTGTACAAGTTTTGTAGAAGAAAGCCCCTTGAGTAAATGTATCAGTATATGAATTCTGCATGTTCAGTGAACAAAATTACTGTACTGTCGGAAATGTAAGACAATTGTGATATAATCGTTGACGAAGTAACATTTAAGATAAGTACTGCACTATGTTCCTTCGATGAAATTGTGATATGTTGAATTAGTTAAAATCTATGGAAAAGGAATTGGTAATGAAGTCTGGCACCTCTTTATTCTTTAGCATGACATTTCAGAGCTGCTTCTAGGTCTTATATCACGAAAAAGTGCATAAGAGCTAATTTATGTATGTATGCTATCATGATTTGTTTACACAACAATAGATGGGATGAATGTGCAATAAAAGCATAACAATATGATGACGAAGTCATTGAAATGGGATTAATGTGCGTGGATAATCTCGTTTAACACAAGATATAGTTGATTGAAGTAAAATGGATTGAAAAGATCAAAACCTCAATTAGATCAAACATTCATACAGCAACCGGTGTTCAGTGCACGCGCAGCAGCGGGCAATGCAGCTGAAATGTCATGCCCCCAACATCGTTGAAATCAGTTTTTTTTACGGATAACGGATATTTCATTCTAACTAACTTGTTCTCATCGCTGCATGTCCGCAGTATTGCCGATGCGATGTAGCATTGTAACTAACTCACTAACTAAATATAATTAGGGTCATCTTCAGCCTTGTTTAAAATAACATAGCTGCATGATTAGTGTCACCGTAATGCATGTTTAATGTCATCTCTTTTAGTGTCATCTTGGTATATATATAATTTGCTGAAGCTACATGTTTAGTTTCAACGTGATAAATACACTGTTTCACATAATTAGTGTTAGCTAAGCAATATGTCACCGTGACTCATGCTTAGTGTCATATGGCTGCTATTACCAACTTAGTTTCGGCTACACATGTACCCGAATGTTTAGTTTCATGCTAATACATGCTTAGTGTCTCAAAGTGGCATCAGCTAAACGTTTAGTATGCCCTTACTTTGTGTTGAGCGTCACCGTTACTCATGCTGAGTGTCTCAAAGCTACACGTTTAGTGTGCGTAACAGTTACATGTTAAGTGTCACCGGGATGCATTGTTAGTGTCAGATGCTCAGTCATAGATGACTAGTGTAACCGACTTACATGTTTAGTTTAACAGACCTACATATTTAGTCCTGGTGTGATGCCAAAGACAATGTAGGACCTCCCGATAGCACATCATGGACGTGATCACCACGATACATGTTTAGTGTCACCACAATACACGTTTAGTGTCACCACAATACATGTTTAGTGTCATCACAATACATGTTTAGTGTCATCACAATACATGTTTAGTGTCATCACAATACATGTTTAGTGTCACCACAATACATGTTTAGTGTCACCACAGTACATATTTAGTGTCACCACAATACATGTTTAGCATCACATGGCTACATGTTCAGTGTCACCGTAATACAAGTTTAGTGTCACCACAATACAAGTTTCTTGTCACCACAATGCAAGTTTAGTGTCACCACAATACACGTTTAGTGTCATCACAATACACATTTAGCGTCACCACAATACATGTTTAGTGTCACCACAATACATGTTTAGTGTCACCACAATACATGTTTAGTGTCACCACAATACGTTTAGTCTCACCACAATACATGTTTAGTGTCACCACAATACAAGTTTAGTGTCACCACAATACATGTTTAGTGTCACCACAATACGTTTAGTGTCACCACAATACATGTTTAGTGTCACCACAATACATGTTTAGTGTCACCACAATACATGTTTAGTGTCATAACAATACATATTTAGTGTCACCACAATACAAGTTTAGTGTCACCACAATACATGTTTACTGTCACCACAATACATATTTAGTGTCACCACAATACATATTTGGTGTCACCACAATACATGTTGAGTGTCACCGCAATACAAGTTTAGTGTCACCACAATACATGTTTAGTGTCACCACAATACATGTTTAGTGTCACCACAA